CTGACTCCAGTTTGTTCCTTTTACGGGACCGGAGGATCCACACTGCGACAAAACCAACCGCGGGAGAGAAGGGCTCCTGACTGACGGTAAAGTGACGCTCAGACGGACGAAACCCCGAGAAGAACCCGGGTCCACAGGTGAGTTCAAAGTGTGGATGGTCAGTGTTTCTGCAGATCACGTTTGTTCTCGCAGCTTCGTTCTTCGTCGACGCTCGAGCCGACAGATCCACCGCTAACAGCTGATCGTTTGTCTGGGTTTGGTTGAGATCAAACTCTCTGACGGGGTCGGTTTGTTATGGTTCTGAGTGTCTGGACGGGCCTGGAGGTTCGTCTGTGAGGTCAGGTGACCTGGACTGGACTCTGGAGGACTGGAAAGACTCGAGACTCACTCTGGACTGGCTGCTCCTGGAAGACTCGGCTCTGGACTCTGCTCTGCTCTGGACTCTGCTCTGGACTCTGCTCTGGACTCTCTGGACTCTGCTCTGGACTGCTCTGGACTCTGGACTCTGGACTCTGCTCTGGACTCTGCTCTGGACTCTGGACTCTGCTCTGGACTCTGGATCTGCTCTGGACTCTGGACTCTGGACTCTGCTCTGGACTCTGCTCTGGACTCTGGACTCTGCTCTAGACTCTGCTCTGGACTCTGCTCTGGACTCTGGCTCTGGACTCTGCTCTGGACTCTGGATCTGCTCCTGGACTCTGACTCTGGACTCTGGACTCTGACTCTGCTCTCTGGACTCTGCTCTAGACTGCTCTGGACTCTGCTCTGGACTCTGGACTCTGGACTCTGGACTCTGGACTCTGCTCTACTCTGGACTCTGGCTCTGGAGGCTCTGGACTCTGGACTCTGGACTCTGGACTCTGGACTCTGGACTCTGCTCTGGACTCTGGACTCTGCTCTGGACTCTGCTCTGGACTCTGGACTCTGGACTCTGGCTCTGGACTCTGGACTCTGGCTCTGGACTCTGGACTCTGGACTCTGGACTCTGGACTCTGGGCTCTGGACTCTGGCTCTGGACTCTGGACTCTGGACTCTGGACTCTGGACTCTGGACTCTGCTCTGGACTCTGGACTCTGGACTCTGGCTCTGGACTCTGGACTCTCTGGACTCTGGACTCTCACTCTGGACTCTGGGACTCTGGACTCTGGACTCTGGACTCGGCTCTGGACTCTGGACCTACACGTGTTTCTTTTGATTCATCAGTGAAACGCAATCAAGACAGGAAGAGGAGTCCTTTTTTAGACCGGGTTCAGTCCTGGGTCAGTCAGTCCTGTTTCGTCCTCCTTCAGTCCTGGTGTAGTCCTGGTTCAGACCTGGTTCAGACCTGTTTTAGTCCTGGTTCAGTCCCAGTTTTGTCCTGTTTTAGTCCTGGTTCAGTCTTATTTTAGTCCTGGTCCAGGCCTGTTTTAGTCCTGTTTTGATCCTGGTTCAGTCTTGGTTCAGTCCTGGTTCAGTCTTATTTTAGTCCTGGCCCAGGCCTGTTTTAGTCCTGGTTCAGTCCTAGTTTAGTCTTGTTTTAGTCCTGTTTTTAGTCCCGGTTCAGACCTGGTTTTGTCCTGTTTTAGTCCTGGTTCAGTCTTATTTTAGTCCTGTTTTAGTCTTGTTTTGGTCCTGGTTCAGACCTGGTTTAGTCTGTTTTAGTCCTGTTTTAGTCCTGGTTCAGACCTGGTTCAGTCTGGTTAGTTTTAGTCCGGTCAGTCCTTTCAGTCCTGGTTCATCCTGGTTCAGACCTGGTAGTCTAGTTAGTCCTGGTTCAGTCTTGTTTTAGTCCCGGTTCAGTCTTGTTTTAGTCCTGGTTTAGACCTGGTCCAGACCCGGTTCAGACCTGGGATCAGTCCTGGTTCAGACCTGTTTTAGTCCTACTTCAGTCCAGGTTCAGTCTGGTTTTAGTCCTGGTCCAGTCCTGGTTCAGACCTGGCTGAGTCCTAGTTTAGTCCTGGTTCAGTCTTGTTTTAGTCTTGTTTTAGTCTTAGTTTAGTGTTTTAGTCCTGTTTTAGTCTTGTTTTGTTCCTGGTTCAGTCTTGTTTTAGTCCCAGTTCAGACCCGGTTCAGGCCCGGTTCAGACCTGATTCAGTCCTGGTTGAGTCTTGTTTTAGTTCTGGTCCAGTCCTGGTTCAAACCTGGTTCAGACCTGGTTCAGACCTGGTTGAGTCCTAGTTTAGTCCTGTTTTAGTCTTGTTTTGGTCCCGGTTCAGACCTGGTTTAGTCCTGGTTCAGTCCTGGTTTAGTCCTGGTTCAATCTTGTTTTAGTCCCGGTCCAGACCCGGTCCAGACCCGGTCCAGACCCGGTCCTTACCCAGCGACACTTGCAGAGGCAGCGTGACGGCGGCGGCTGCTTCGGGCTCGCTGGCCGTCAGATCTTTGAGCGCGTAGAGGAAAACCCTGTAGGGCGTCTCGGGGCTCAGGTCCTTCACGAGCGCCGAGGTCGTGTCCGCGCTCACGTACATCTCCTGCCTGCCGCCCTCGCCGGACTGAGGCTCCACCTGCAGCCTGTAGCCCGTCACGTCCGACGCAGACGGCTCCCAGCGCACGCGCACAGACTTGGACATCACCTCCACGATGTCCAGGTTTTTGGCCGGTTCCACCGCTGCGGGAGAAAAGAAGGGGGAGTCATACATGGTGTCGTACTTAATTTACGTCTACAAACGTCCGGGGGAAACAGACGGACCTTCGAAGCCGCTGGCCAGAGCGCCGAGCTGCTCCTCCACGCCGGCGCAGATGTTCAGGAGCAGGTTCCTCTGGATGCTCCTCAGGTTTTCGTGGGACGAGGCTCTGAAGACGTGGTTCTGCTGAGGGGAGGAGGCCACCTGCATCATCTGAGCTTCGTCTGCTCCCTGCACACCTGAGCCGAGGACCAGAGGAAGACCAGGTTTAGACCGGGGTTAGACCAGAGGAAGGACCGGGGTTAGACCAGAGGAAGGACCGGGGTTAGACCAGGGTTAGACCAGGGTTAGACCAGAGTAAAACCAGGGTTAGACCAGGGTTAGACCAGAAGGACCAGAGTAAAACCAGGGTTAGACCAGAGGAAGGACCGGGGTTAGACCAGAGGAAGATCAGGTTTAGACCGTGTTTAGGCCAGGTTTAGACCAGGGTTAGACCAGAGTAAAACCAGGGTTAGACCAGAGGACCAAGGACCAGGGTTAGACCAGAGGAAGGACCAGGGTTAGACCAGAGGAAGGACCAGGTTTAAGCCAAGGTAAGACCAGAGTAAAATCAGGTTTAGACCAGAGTTAGACCAGATTAAAACCAGAGTAAGACCAGGTTTAAGCCAGGTTTAGATGAGGGTTAGACCAGAGTTAAGCCAGAGTTAGACCAAAGTAAGACCAGGTTTAGACCAGGGTTAGACCAGAGTTAGACCAAAGTAAGACCAGGTTTAGACCAGGGTTAAACCAGAGTAAGGCCAGAGTAAGACCAGGTTTAGACCACACTAGACCAGGTTTAGACCGGGTTTAAGCCAGGGTGAGACCAGGTTCAGACCAAGGTTAGACCAGAGTATGACCAGGGTAAGACCAGGTTTAGACCAGAGTAAGACCAGGGTAAGACCAGGTTTAAGCCAGGTTTAGACCAGGTTTAGACCAGGTTTAGACCAGGTTTAGACCAGGTTTAGACCAGTGTTTTGTCAAAATCAGCTGCCCTAATAAACGACTTTACATTTTTCCATTTCCAGTTGTACAGATAAACCAAACCCGGACCCTGACCCAGACCTGACCCTGACCCAGACCCGGACCCTGGACCCGGACCCGGACCCGACCCTGACCCAGACCGGACCTGGACCTGACCCGGACCCTGACCCGGACCCTGGACCCTGACCCAGACCCGGACCCTGACCCGACCCAGACCCGACCCTGACCCGGACCCTGACCCAGACCCGGACCCTGACCCGGACCCGACCCTGACCCGGACCCGACCCTGACCCTGACCCAGACCCGACCCGACCCTGACCCCGGACCCTGACCCGGACCCGACCCTGACCCGGACCCTGACCCAGACCCTGACCCGGACCCAGACCCGGACCCGGACCCGACCTGGACCCGGACCTCCACAGTTTTACCACCTGTTTCTTTAGATTGGAGATGTTAGAGGTTTGATCCAGTTTCACACGGTGCTCGGACTTTAGACCTCAGCTCTGTCAGATCTAAACTGGTTTGTGTGAACGTGCGCAGTCATTTTATTTCCACAGAACCAGTAACTCTGCTCTTGTCTCTCGGCCGTGATGGACGAGGACAGAAAAAGGAATAACAGAAGAAACTCTAGAACAAACACAATTTCAAAAATACATAAACACCATCCAGGGAAATTTATTCCATGTGTGCCTCAGGAGCTCAAATCGACGGAATCTCAACTGGAAGAGCGCGAGCGGGTCGAGGGTCAGGGCGGTTTAGACACACGTTTAGGTTTAGACCTGGTTTAGACCTGTTTAGGTTTAGACCTGGTTTAGTTTAGACCTGGTTTAGACCTGGTTTAGACCTGGTTTAGACCTGGTTTTGATCTAGTTTACACCTGGTTTAGTTTAGTCCTGTTTTAGACCTGTTTTAGACCTGGTTTAGACCTGTTTTAGTCCTATTTAGATCTTTTTTAGACCTAGTTTAGACCTGGTTTAGTTTAGTCCTGGTTTAGACCTGGTTTAGACCTGGTTTAGTCCTGGTTAGACCTGGTTTAGACCTGGTTTAGACCTGGTTTAGGTTAGTCCTGGTTTAGACCTGTTTTACACCTAGTTCAGACCTGTTTTAGTCCTGGTTTACATCTAGTTTAGACCTGGTTTAGTTTAGTCCTGTTTAAGACCTGGTTTACGCCAGTGTTAGTCTTGGTTTAGATCTTTTTAGACCTAATTTAAGCCTGGTTTAGACCTAGTTTAGACCTGTTTTAGTCCTATTTAGATCTTTTTCGACCTAGTTTAGACCTGGTTTAGTTTAGTCCTGGTTTAGACCTGTTTTAGACCTGTTTTACACCTAGTTTAGACCTGTTTTAGTCCTGGTTTACATCTAGTTTAGACCTGGTTTAGTTTAGTCCTGTTTAAGACCTGGTTTACGCCAGTGTTAGTCTTGGTTTAGATCTTTTTAGACCTAATTTAAACCTGGTTTAAACCTGGTTAGACCTGTTTTAGTCCTATTTAGATCTTTTTAGACCTAGTTTAGACCTGGTTTGGTTTAGTCTTGGTTTAGACCTGGTTTACGCCAGTTTTAGTCCTGGTTTAGATCTTTTTAGAACTAATTTCGACTTGGTTTAGACCTGTTTTAGTTTAGTCCTGGTTCAGACCTGGTTAGACCTGGTTTAAATCTGTTTAAGACCTGTTTTAGTCCTATATAGATCTTTTTTAGATGTAGTTTAGTCCTGGTTTAGTCCTGTTTTAGTCCTATTTAGATCTTTATTAGACCTGGTTTAGTCCTGTGTACATCTAGTTTAGACCTGGTTTACACCTGGATTACATCTGGTTTACAACTAGTTTAGACCTGGTTTAGTTTAGACCTGGTTTCCTGGTTTACCTGGTTTAGTTTACCTGGTTTAGACCTGGTTTAGTCCTGGTTTAGACCTGGTTTAGACCTGGTTTAGTTTACCTGGTTTAGTTTTAGACCTGGTTTAGACCTGGTTTAGTTTAGACCTGGTTTACCTGGTTTAGTTTTCCTGGTTTACCTGGTTTAGACCTGGTTTACCTGGTTTAGACCTGGTTTAGACCTGGTTTAGTTCTAGTTTAGTCCTGGTTTAGACCTGGTTTAGTCCTGGTTTAGACCTGGTTTAGACCTGGTTTAGACCTGGTTTAGTTCTGGTTTAGACCTGGTTTAGTCCTGGTTTAGACCTGGTTTAGACCTGGTTTAGACCTGGTTTAGTTTAGTCCCTAGTTTAGTTTCCTGGTTTAGTTCTGGTTTAGACCTGGTTTACCTGGTTTAGTTCTGGTTTAGTTCTGGTTTAGACCTGGTTTAGTTCTGGTTTAGACCTGGTTTAGACCTGGTTTAGACCTGGTTTAGTCCTGGTTTAGACCTGGTTTAGACGCAGGTATAAGGACACATGGGAATAGAACAGAAAGTCGTACAGGATATTGTCAGGATAAAGTTGTTGTTGTTGTTGTTGTTGTTGTTGTTGTTGTTGTTGTTGTTGTTGTTGTTGTTGTTGTTGTGTCAGAATCGGAGTCGAGGATCGAGTTTGTGTTTGAGTCTTGAACTCGAGTTGAACTTTCATGATCCTGACGACATTTTAAACTGTTCAGGAAAAGTCTCATTTTGTTCTAACGTGATTTTTTTTACGATCGATTCCTGCGTAAACGAGTCTCTGTATCTGGTCCGTGGTACTTCTGACGACCGTAACCTGGACTAAACCCGGACTAAACCCGGACTAAACCCGGACTAAACCCGGACTAAACCCGGACTAAACCCGGTCTAGACTGTCCGAAGTGTGAAATGTAATAATCCTTCGCAGTGATTCGGGTTTAGGAAAGTCTGGCTCAGATGAACAACTTTTATTAAAACCACAACGTTTTTCCAAAGTCGTTTAAAGTGAATCTGAAGTCTGGAAACTGTGACGAACCAAGACCATAAACCAAAGACTCAGACTGAAGCAGGTTTTATTAGACTTTAGACCTGGTTTAGACCTAGTTTAGACCTGGTTTAGACCTGGTTTAGACCAGTTTAGACCCGGTTTAGACCTAGTTTAGACCTAGTTTAGACCTGGTTTAGAGATCTAGTTCGGACTTGTTTTAGACCTGGTTTGGACCTGGTTTAGACCTGGTTTGGTTTAGACCAGTTTAGACGTTTGACCAGTTTAGACCTAGTTTAGACCTGGTTTTAGACCTAGTTTAGACCAGTTTAGACCTGGTTTAGACCTAGTTTAGACCTGGTTTGACCTAGTTTAGACCTAGTTTAAGACCTGGTTTAGACCTAGTTTAGACCTTTAGACCTGGTTTAGACCTGGTTTAGACCTAGTTTAGACCTGGTTTAGACCTAGTTTAGACCTGGTTTAGACCTGGTTTAGACCTAGTTTAGACCTAGTTTAGACCTGGTTTAGACCTGGTTTAGTTTAGACCTGGTTTAGACCTAGTTTAGACCTGGTTTAGTTTAGACCTGGTTTAGACCTAGTTTAGACCTGGTTTAGACCTAGTTTAGACCTGGTTTAGACCTAGTTTAGACCTGGTTTAGACCTAGTTTAGACCTAGTTTAGACCTGGTTTAGTTTAGACCTGGTTTAGACCTAGTTTAGACCTGGTTTAGACCTGGTTTAGACCTAGTTTAGACCTAGTTTAGACCTGGTTTAGACCCGGTTTAGAACTAGTTTAGACCTAGTTTAGACCTGGTTTAGACCCGGTTTAGAACTAGTTTAGACCTAGTTTAGTTCTAGTTTAGACCTGGTTTAGACCTAGTTTAGACCCAGTTTAGACCTGGTTTAGACCTGGTTTAGACCTGGTTTAGACCTAGTTTAGACCTGGTTTAGACCTGGTTTAGACCTGGTTTAGACCTGGTTTGGTTGATCCAAGTTTCACTTTTCTCTCTTTAATAGTCCCGCTGGTCTTGAG